GCGCACGGCTTGGAGAAACAGGTGGGCAAATCTCTGGATTACCTGGAGCAGGGCCCGTCCGGCACAGTCTTCAAGAGCCTCCCGCACGGGTCAGGAGTCGTCAAACCCCCGTACCAAACGTCCAGGATATTCTCCACGATGGACCACGCGCCCGTCAAACCCAAACCGCCCACCTTCAGCTTCCAGAACCCGTACGAATGGGCCCGCAACCAGTCCCAACTCCTGGAGCAAACAGGCTACCGACCCAAACGCAAACCTTCCCTCAAAACCTCAATGAAAACTAAAAAGATCTTCGGCTGGGGCGACTTCTACTTCAACGTCAAGACGCTCAAGTTCAGCCTTCTGGTGACCGGGAAAATCGTGGATCACGTCAACGGGACGTTCACCGTCTACTTTCGCCACAACTCCTCGAGTCTCGGGAACGTGTCGGTCAGCATCGTCCCACCATCTAAAGTGGTCGAGTTCGAGGTTCTCCAACAGCAAAGCCCGATTCATCCTGAGATCCAGTTCCACCCGCCTCAACAATCCACGATCGACCCCAAAGACATCAAAACCTTCAATTGCCGAGTCGAGTACGAAAAAACTGATCGCTCCAAGAAGCCGAAACCCTGCCTGTACGACCCGTCGCAAACCTGCTTCACCGAGAACACGCAGTCGCACTCGTCCTGGCTCTGCGCGAAACCCTTCAAAGTCATCTGCATCTTCATCTCCTTCTTCAGCATCGATTACAAGCTGGTGCAGAAGGTCTGTCCGGACTACAACTTTCAGAGCGAACATCCGTACCTCGGATGAAGCGGACGTGTTTTCCGGTGATTTTTTCGATCTAAGTTTTCTTTGTATATAGAAAGAACAACCCTAATCCGTTCAGCTCTTAAAGGGATAGTTCACCCAAAAAATGAAAATTACCCCGGGATTTACTCACTCTCAAGTCATCCTAGGTGTATATGACATTCTTCTTTCAGACTAATACAATCAGAGTTATATTTAAAAAATGTCCTGGATCTTCCAAGCTTTATAATGAGAGTCAATGGCCGTCCATAAAAGTGCATCTGTCCATCATAAAAGTGCATCTGTCCATCATAAAAGTGCATCTATCCATCATAAAAGTGCATCTGTCCATCATAAAAGTGCATCTATCCATCATAAAAGTGCATCTATCCATGATAAAAGTGCATCTATCCATCATAAAAGTGCATCTGTCCATCATAAAAGTGCATCTATCCATCATAAAAGTGCATCTATCCATGATAAAAGTGCATCTGTCCATCATAAAAGTGCATCTATCCATCATAAAAGTGCATCTATCCATGATAAAAGTGCATCTATCCATCATAAAAGTGCATCTGTCCATCATAAAAGTGCATCTGTCCATCATAAAAGTGCATCTATCCATCATAAAAGTGCATCTGTCCATCATAAAAGTGCATCTATCCATCATAAAAGTGCATCTGTCCATCATAAAAGTGCATCTGTCCATCATAAAAGTGCATCTATCCATCATAAAAGTGCATCTATCCATCATAAAAGAGCATCTATCCATCATAAAAGTGCATTTATCCATGATAAAAGTGGATCTATCCATCATAAGATGACTTGAGGGTGGGTGAGTAAATCATGGGGTTATTTTCATTTTTGGGTGAACTCTCTCTTTAATACTGATTTATTGCTTTCGTCCGTTTTTGTCTGTCGACTGTTAGACGAACAGGGAACGTCTTGTTTTTCTACGGATCCTGCTTATGTATTTCAGAAGGAGTTCTTCCTCAGTACTTTTGTCTTGTTTTTCAGCACAAATATATAAAGATTCCTTAAAGTCCCCCTGTAGTGAAAATCCAGCGTTTAATGTTGTTTATGTGAAGGAAAAACTTTTAAATATGTAAAAAAAAAAATCAAAGACGAGTTTAAGGGATCAAAGTATTGACTACAGGGCGACTTTAAATACTGGTGAAGCAAAATGATTTCAGATATTAATACTTGTGTACTGAACAAAGTTTGTGTTTAAAACAAGAACAAGTATCTGTCAATGGGGTCAGAAAATTTAATAAGTTTATTTTTCTGACCCCATTGACAGATACTTGTTCTTATTGACTGATATTTGGATATTTACGGGTCAAGCCCTGAAGGTTTGGATCCGTTTGCGTTCCTATTATTCTCATTCTTCTTCCACTCTTGAGTCTATGGCAGCCCATAGAACCGCTTTCGGGAAAGTTATTAAATTTGGCACATAGATAGAGATTAATCTAAATATGAACCACAGCAATTTTGGAGTCTATAATTCAATCCCTCTAGCGCCACCAACTGTCCAATGTTTCACTTATGTTTATGCTAATATCTGTTGAACCTTAAGGGCTAGAAACAAAACACAAATTGTCTCTGATATCTTAGCTCAAGACAATTCATTTGCATCCTATGACGGCATTTGAACCATTTAACCCGTAGGATCTTTTTATGAAGACTAAAAAACCCTTACCCTTTGTCGAACTCCTCCTAGGCCTCCAAACCGTTCTCGAATGACGCGCAAACAAATTTGACGAAGAGCACACTGAAATGAACATGAGGCTATATCTCCGCAATGCTTTAGCCCATTCTGACTAAACTTGGTGTGTGTTATAACAACCATGACCTGAGGATAACTGCTAGTTTTTGGCACAGTGCCACCTAGTGGTCAGGAGAAAATGGAAAAATGGCTTTTTTTGTTTAGAACTTCTGAACGCTTTGGCCAGATGCAGTGGATCTGGTCTTTAAAATCCTATACTTTTTTGAACTGATCACTTTTCCGATTTTCACCAAAATTGAATCGTATCATCTTCAAACAAAATATTACGGATTTCGTGTCGATTGACGAAACCGTTTTCGTATACCGCATCAACAAATGTGATGGAATGATGCCAGAATGACTCTGAAGCTGTATCTCTGCAATGCTTTTGCATATTGACACCAAACTTTGCATGTGTCATTGTCACCTCACTCTGACCACAACACATCAATTTGGTCACAGCGCCACCTATTGGTCAGAAGAGATAAACCATTAAATCATATTATTACTAATGACTTATCCTGGCTTTTTTGTGCTTGGCCCCTTAATGGCTGATGCAAGCTATTTCTTTCCTTGTTTAAATATTTGTCCTGGAAAACAAGACAAAAGTACTGAGGAACAACATCATTTTTTGCAGTGAAGAAGTCAAAAACCAGCTACTTTTCATTGGTTTCAAATGACAAGCCTGTTGCGATCTGCAGTTCGACCAGGGTTTTACAAATGCAACTGAAGAACTGATTGGATGATGATGAAAATATAGAGTCTTGAGAAATATTGATTCCTGATGTCAGTCAAGAAGATGAACTGTGATGAAAGATCATGAAGACAAACTTTTATTTTCTTTAGAATGATGAATCGTTCACAGGAACATGAGTTTCATGTCGACTTCAAGAGGCCGTCCTGATGTTGTCCGGAATGAATTTGAGGTATAAATGACAACATTTTGATGTTAAATGACAGTAGCAAAACCTTTAAGATGAAGTTTTAGCTTCATGATCAGATCATCAACAGAAGCTCCAAAGCTTCTGGGTTAACCAGACGAAGAGTTTATGTGTTATCAGTGCAAAACCAGGTTTAATGTTCAAAACATTGAGCAAAAACACTCTCTATGTGTAAGAAGATGATAAATAAATCCAAATGAATGTATTTAACAGAATGTTATTCACCCCAATATGAATTACCTTTATGTATTATGAAATTAAAGACATAGCATATCTATTTACTCTGAATAAAGCTTGAAGAGACGCAAAGACAAAATGCAAGATGCTGACACAGATAGAATGATATTGTTTTTTATCCCACTTGGTTATCCTTTACTTTCCCCGTCTTGTTTTTGAAGTAACGCACCAAAAGCGGAGCCGTAGCTCTTTATTTTTGGACAACCGATTCATCTGTGAACGAGAAGCTGAAGAGGAACTCGAGCTCCTGCAGTTCTGTGAATAAAGTATTGCTTGATCATGTGTATAGTATACATGTGTGTAAATAATGTATCACAAATAAATAATGAAATCCAATCCGCCTGACCGGCCGTTATTCACAAACACTGAATGAAATGATCCATTATGATGCAAAGATTCAAGACTGACAAGACGAAGAAGAACCTCGTGCTCTGTGTCATGATACTTCGTTTGTAAGGTCATTTTACCATGGTGAATTTTAGTGTAACAAGTGCAACTTCTTCACATGATCAGTTTGTGTTCTTAGGGTGATCGTGGGACACTTGCAAAAGCAGGAACAACAAAAAAGGGCTTTATTATTGCTGAGTGTTAATTATTTGGGAGACAGTAAGTATATAATATAATATTTAGTGCCGTCAAATCGATTAATCGCATTTAACATAAAAGTTTTTGTTGATGTAGGCTATGTAATATACACATATAAACAAAAACATTTGTTAGATGCAATAGTCGCAATTAATCATTTGACAGCACTAAATAATATACATTATGTTTAAGCATTATACAGTTTCAGCGGCAAATATTGTGTAATTATATATGCAGCTTTTATGAAGCCACATTAATTGAGAGACTACATGGAAAACTCTCGGCTTGGTGAAGTAAAATCATGTTGTATTTCAGCTGCAAGTCATATAAAATACATGTGTGTTAGAACTGTGCTGAAATACAGTTAGCTGTCGTTTTCCTGAATAGCATGTTGTTCTTTTAGTCATGACGTCAACTTGTAGTCCACCACAGCAAAACTCCCCACTGCGCAAGTCAGGACTACATTTCCCATGAGCACTCGCGCGGATCGTCAATAAGCTGCTGTCATTTAGGCGACGGACGAAAAGCGTGCGAACGCAAAACCTGCTGGAACCGGAGAAGTTGAGTCGCTTTACCATGTTAACACTGACTTTAAGACAACTGATCAAGGTGAGTTTAACACACACACACACACATTATAGCGCGATAACGCGAGGAGCTGCTGGTCAGGGCGCGTGATGTGTTTAAACAGGCGTTATGATCGCTCGTGTTTGCATCAATATAGCAGATGATATTAATCAGTGTGCATGCATAAGCGAACATACATTAGAAACGTTATGTCGCGATGCAGATTTTACATGCACCCCTTTAAAACAGTGTGTTAGTGAAGCGCTCGAGCGTGCGGGGCTGTTAGACGTGGCATGATGATGATGATGATGATGAGTGTATGATGGGATGTTGGACATCATTTTAAACAATTGCATTTGTGAATTGTCAGTAACTTCAGTAGACTTACACACAGACATCCAGTTAGTGAGTGTAGAGAGAGGATTATACAGGATGGACTGTGTTCTCTCATACTGGTTAGATGATGCAACCACACATGCTGTGTTTCAGCATGAAGACTATACTCTCACTCTTTAACTCTTTCACTCTCTCACTCTTTAACTCTCTCACTCTTTCACTCTCTCACTCTTTAACTCTCACTCTTTAACTCTTTCACTCTCTCACTCTTTAACTCTCTCACTCTTTAACTCTTTCACTCTCTCACTCTTTAACTCTCACTCTCACTCTTTAACTCTCTCACTCTTTAACTCTTTCACTCTCTCACTCTTTAACTCTTTAACTCTTTCACTCTCTCACTCTTTAACTCTTTCACTCTCTCACTCTTTAACTCTCTCACTCTTTCACTCTAACTCTTTAACTCTTTCACTCTCTCACTCTTTAACTCTCACTCTTTAACTCTCTCACTCTTTCACTCTAACTCTCTCACTCTCTCACTCTTTAACTCTCACTCTTTCACTCTCTCACTCTTTCACTCTTTCACTCTCTCACTCTCACTCTTTAACTTTCATTCTAACTCTCTCACTCTTTAACTCTCTCACTCTTTCACTCTAACTCTCTCACTCTCTCACTCTTTAACTTTCACTCTTTCACTCTCTCACTCTTTCACTCTTTCACTCTCTCACTCTCACTCTTTAACTTTCATTCTAACTCTCTCACTCTTTAACTCTCACTCTTTCACTCTCTCACTCTAACTCTTTCACTCTCTCACTCTTTAACTCTTTCACTCTCTCACTCTCACTCTTTCACTCTAACTCGCTCACTCTCTCACTCGCTCACTCTTTCACTCTCTCACTCTTTCACTCTTTCACTCTCTCACTCTTTAACTCTTTCACTCTCACTCTTTCACTCTAGCTCACTCTTTCACTCTTTCACTCTCTCACTCTCACTCTCTCACTCTTTAACTTTCATTCTAACTCTCTCACTCTTTAACTTTCACTCTTTCACTCTCTCACTCTTTAACTCTTTCACTCTCTCACTCTTTAACTCTTTAACTCTTTCACTCTCTCACTCTCACTCTTTCACTCTAACTCTCTCACTTTTATGTACTTTTTATGTCATAATTGACTTGGCAATTATCATGTCATCATTTTGACTATGTAATGATTATGACTTCATCTCATAAATAATATAAATGACAGTCATAATTTTGACTTTTTTCACAATTTCAACTTTTCGTCATAATTTCGACACCTTCATTTCTTAAATGACTTAGTATGTGATAATTATTAATGTTATAATTGACTGCAGGGGCGTCACTAGGATTTTCATTTTAGGGGGGCTAAGCCCCCAATATGATTTTTAAACAAATTATAAAAAAAGGTAACACTTTAGTTTAGGATCTAAAGATCACTATTAACCATTTTCATTACGATGCAAAGGCACGGTTTTATAATAACTGTGGTCCCAAATGTGAGGCAGGGCCAAATAGGGGGGTTCCTGAAAATTTTGATTTCTCTGATCTACATATGTGCATTTTAAGATGTTCTGAAGGCCAAAAAACTTGGATAGTGGGCAGCTGACAATTTTTCTCTCCTCATCAGCAGCATCACTTTTTTTCTCTTTGTTTTTCTCTTACCCTGTCTCTTCCCCTCCTAAAGCTGAGCTTTGACTGATATAGGCTTTTCATTTTTGTCTGTCAGTGAAGAAAGTAAACATAGGGTCAACTGATAGGTTGATTTTGCCTATGAATCATTTTCTCAGATGCGTTTATTTACTGAAAGCTACTAAAGGTAATTAAGTTTATTAAATGCATTCACAATATGTAGGCTACACATTTATTATTGATCTTATGCCTAATACAGGGCCGTAGACAGGGCTCTATAATCACAGAGGTCCTAAATTTGAGGTTGGTAGGGGGTTCAAATTTTTTATTTCTGATATGTGCATTTCAAGACGTTTGAAGACCAAAAAAAAGGATAAGAAATAGCTTTAAAACCATGTCAGTGGGCAGATTATTTGTCAATACCTCCTCTCTTCTCATCTCCATCACTCTTCCTTTTTTTCTCAGTCTCTTCCTCCCTTTCTCTTCCCCTCCTAAAGCTGAGCTTTTTTAATTTACTAAAGGCTACAATTTGTATTATATTCTCAATATGTACACATTCATTATTAATCTTGTGCCTAACATGATGAAAACTAATTTGTTAATGTTTCTTGTAAACTAATTATTACATTACATGAGTTACATGAGTGTATAGGCCTATTTTCAGTTCAAAATGGCGAAATTAGACAAAACTATATTAGTTTGCCTGATTATTTTTTGTCATTCGTTTAACATTTATGACCTAAAAAAAGTAAAATATGAAATGTTAAGTTTAGCTACTTACATCTTATCTCGCACTTGACCGTACGCGTCGAGTCCATAGACTGTAAAAAATGGTCGTGTCGCACTGTTAAGATTCGCGCTCAGCAGCGTCTGTGAACATAAAGCCCGCCTACTTTGATTTGATTGGTCGTCTCTGACATTGACGAGCAGTGACAGACCAATGAGGCTCAGATGAACACACAAATGAACACACACACCCTGTCCTCTGTTTCTGACGTGCTCTCTGCACGGCGCAGCTGTGGATTGAGAACGTGCTGAATCTGATTATAACAAGACTGAAGCGAACACGAATTTGTGTAGCCTACATTAATCTCACATTTTTAGGGGGGCTTGGCAGAAGTTTAGGGGGGCTGAAGCCCCCCTAAAAAGGGCCTAGTGACGCCCCTGATTGACTGTCATAATTTTGACTTTATTTCATAACTTTCAACTGTTCATCTCATAAGTGTCATAATTTAAACTTTTTGTCATAATTTCAACTTGGTATGTGATCAATTTGGCCTTTTCTTCTCATAATTATGTTTTTATATGATAATTATTTGCAAAAGCATGTTTTCTAGTCAGTGTGTTTCTTATCTGACCCAGCAGTGACCTGATCACACCGAGTCAGCTGATGCAAAGATCAAACCAGCGCTTTATATTCTTCTTAGTTTAATCAGTGAAATGACTTCCGCCAGTTATTAATCAGAGGCTCACGTTCGCCGCAGAGTTGTTCTTAGACACTTGATGCGTGTTTTATTAGATTATCTGCTGGTCTGTTCGTCAGTCTCGTGTCTCTCATACGGTCTGTCGTTCATGTGCTTTCATGCTTCTCTTGTTATGGGAATGAGCTTCTGAATATGAAAACAAACGTGTCTTTTGTGTTTGTCAGTGATCTGATTACCGGTAAACTAACTTCATGAAGCTGAAGCATGAGGGCTTTAGTTAGTTAGTTTGCAGCTGCTTCACAAACTCTTTCTCAAGCCTTCCCAATGTTTGTTTCATTGAAATCTCAAGTGTTTTATATTGATTGTTCAAGCATGTTGCACTGCAGAAATCATTTTCGTAATCTTGTTTTTCTAAAAAGAAAGTATTGAGTTTTTTTTTTTTAAAGCAATAGAATGAATTTTTTTTGTACATTCTAAATATATTTAAATATCTATTATAAACAGAAAAGCGAGTAATAACTGCACCCATATTTTAAGTTTGGTTACAAGCTGTTCACATATTGGCAATAAAAAGTGATTAATGCATGAAAACTGTCTGTCAGTGTGAACTTTCATTCGACGGGTTATCAGTGATCTTGCATAAGCAGCTTTAACCCGACGACTCAATAATTAACCAGTCGTTGTTTCGCATTAAATGCCAAAGCTCATGTTCTGATCAGCCAATCAGACGAGAGGATTGTGTCCACACCTCACACTCGATCACGGTAAATACACACTTTACTGTAGTAACAGACCTCAGATAACATCCGTCAGACGATGATACACTCGCTCCGCGTCGTCTGTGTGTTTGTGATCATACTGATGTGGGAGTGTCACATTTGTGTAGTATTCACACCAGAAATCATCATATGGAGTTCGAGTCACTCGTTTAACTCTTCTTGAGAATGCATGCATTGATAATAATATGTCTTGAATGGAATTTAAGTTGTTTTGGATAAAAGCCTGTGGAGGACCAAACCTGCAGAAGTAAATAAATAAAAATGTATTTAATTAAAAAAAAAAATCTGTAATTTATTCCTTTATTATTTTCTGTATCTATTTTGAAATGCATTTTTATTCTTTTGAATATTTTTTTCTTTCATTTTTATTCATGCATTTATTTATTTAATGAATTATACATTTTTATTTTATTATATTTTCCACCCACATATATTTACTTATAAATATATTCCCACATATTTTACTTTATTTATTTGTTTATTTTCCTATTATTACATTTATTTTACTATCTATATATTCATTGATCTATTTATTTGGTATTTTGCTGGTTTGGTCCGGTATAATATACATATGCTAAATGCATAAATATAAAAATGGTATTTTTTACATTTATTACAAAAAAATGTCTTATTTTAGCATCATTGAGATACTATATAGTTTATATTCATATTTTGAATTATTTTTCATCTTATATTTTTCTTGATTTTAATGTTAGTAATTTTTACTGTGTTTTTGTCATTTGTAGTAAGTTTAGTATAGCTTTTATAAAAAAAAAAATGTCAGCTTTAGTTTTTGTCATTTAGTACAAAACATGAACTAAATTAAAATGAGAAATGTTGCCTTTTTTAAAGATTGGT